ATGGGAGAATTAGTAATTTTTGCTAAAACAACGTTTTGTTTCCTAATTCCTTTTGTTTGTGATACATTTTCTGGATACAATTTCAAGCCATTTATGAGTATGCATTACATTCGCGTTATTGTATTCCAGTACGTTGATCCATTCTGTGAATCTCAAGAGGGTTGTGACAAAATTAAGGGGAGCTGGTATTGCTTTGTCGCTTAGTAAAAGGTCGCGCATTGCTTGTCGCGTTTCTTTATTCCCGACAATAAGGCACTACGGTACTTGTATTTATTGTATGTGAACACCAAACAACAGCTTAAGAACACAAGAAGTACGAACACTCGAAATTGAAACGCTTTATAATCTGTTTCTCCCCGAGAAACAGGCGAAATCATATTTAAAACACCGGCAAACCGGCATTTTCCTGTATTCCTTTTCGTTTCCGCAGGCATATGAAACGTAGCTGCAAAAATTTGCAATTCAAAGAAACTTAACGATCCGTGAAAACGCTTTGTAATATAGAAAAGAGCATATATTGCATCTTTGCTGTAGAAAAGAACATCTTCAGAGTGATATCGATTAAACTTTTAGCATTTAAAATATTTAAGTATAACGTCTTCTTATTTGTAGACTAAAAATCTGTAATATAAAATTATAGTGTAAGAATTATTTTAAATACCTAGGCCATAACAATTAAGTTTAAGTTTAAGTAAAAATTTATGATTTGTGACGACGTCGCCGACACACGCATCGAGGGTGGCATTTCTCCACCTCCTTCGTGTACACGCAGACACTTATTTATACGGACGTCCGGTGTACTAAATTAATCGTATTAATGCTTAATACGTACGTATTACGCGATGTACGCACGGTGCAACTTCGTGTGCGCATAGAAAATGGTGTTATTTATTAGTCCAAGAGATGCCGATGCGCAAGAACAATGTTGCCAGCGCGCGCAAGTGTGTAATTATATCGTAATATAACGACGACGATAAAAAGATGATGCATTGCGTCTTCGAGACGTACAACCAGACGCAATGCGTTTGAGCGCATTATATTCATTTTTTAACGTTTTTCTTCTCATTAGTACATTCATATTAGTGCTGACGGAAAATAGATTTCAGTTTTCCGCCGATAAATTAAAGCAAACAAAGTCGCAATTGAAAAATTGCATTTCGGGGCGATGCGTATAACCTGAAACAATGAAACTGTTGCATATTCATGCGCTTTTAACTAACATTCCTGTTAACAATAATACTTACAATAATTTACATAAAAGTATAGTTACTAATCTTTTTAATTAGCGAGTGTGGCTGAGCATTACTCGGCGTAATTTATAAACGGTATTAATATTATACTGAGCGGCAAGTTCACAGAAGAAAAGTATGCAGTGAAGAGCAAACAATTGAATAACATAACAATAAATTATTTGTTTGATGTTCATAATTCTTAATATCGTGTGGTATTTCGAAATGTCCGAGGCATTTGCAGGAAGAAGGGCATTTGGAATGGATCATCTTACAAGTCTTACATACCGAGTAAGGAATATGCAGGAATAGAAAGGTCTTCACCCTTCGCTTGACTCCAACGACCGAGGCTCTTGAACTATCGAAGCCGTAGTCGTAGTGCATCAAGTAATACTGAACATTCTCAGTCTAAGGGTGGAAAGGAAAGCGAGAATACGAAATGGTTTTCCTATTTATTTCCTATTTGTTTCGGGGACGTTTTTCTTGAGCGCGTTCACTGCCCAGAATTGCAAATGACCTTTAAATGTCAAGCAAACGATTTAAATGCTCATTTAGTGCTTCGACTTATAAGAATTTATCCTTCTATAGAGGACTAATAAAAATTGAGTGATTTTTGCTTGATGAAAGTGCCATGTGCATAAAGCATTCCCTCAGTTAATCTCCGCTTTCCTAAAATGAATAATTAAACAATTTCAATGTGTGCACTGGAGGTGGTGATGGAAGAGTAACGTTTAGCACGGAAAATAATTTTCTATTTGAATGTCGAGCTACGAATGGAGTGCGTGTTTGGTTCCAGGAATACACATTGCAATGCCTCCGCCGCTTCGCTTAAAAGCGAAATGCGAACGGCGTGTGCACCGCCGCCGCCCAGAAGCTTTTGTATTCGGCTTTGATCTCGACCACTGCGTCTAATTTCATCCGGGGCGTCGAACTAACTCATTTATTCAACACAAATGACCATTGGTCTCCCGGCAAATTACTTGTCAATTGCTTTTAACTCGCCTGCCGCGCGAGGCTTTTACAATTTTCTGTCGTGCGCGCCCGCCTCGCATTTCCCCGCACACAAACTCTCACTTGCATACATGAAGGAACCAGGCCCACACGTATGCTGGTCAAATTTCTGAACCGAACACTTTTTCACGTTAATCCACGCGCAGAGAATTGAATCTTTTCATGTGTCGTTTGTCATTGTATGCCTGGCTGCAAGTACTATTTCAATGGTGCACCCCAACTGAAGTCAACACGCAGAAATGAAAACAGTAACACAGCAGCGGGTGTTTTACTAAACGCCGACCACTCACTCGACCAGAAAGGAAACGCAGACTCAAAGAGTCGATTGTGAATCGAGGGTGTTAATTATTAAAAACACTCGAAAGCACATGGAATCAAAGGATTTCAATGCCACGTATTTATTTATTCCACCAAAAAGTTACAGATAGAATTGTACGTGTCACGGACAGGCACCAAACCACAAAAAATCAAAGATATGCGTGACGAAACGTGACAAATTCACGCTTCCAAATAACATATTCAGAAAAATCGATTTAATTCTCCACTCCAAATGTGAAACGTGTTGTTGAACGTGTTACAAAGAATAAGAATGTTAACGATCGCATTGTTCCACCTTTAATTTGGTTTAATTTATTGAGAAGGCTTTAATGTGTGTGTTCATTAATCAAGTGCACAACAAGCGTTGGCGACCAAGGATTAATCTCTGAACCAGACCAGAAAATTACAACTTTTCTTAATTACAATATGAAAAATATTTTATTTACACAGCAAAAAGAAAACAACAGATTGCACATCATTAAGTTAGCACCAAAGCGATGAAAACTGACAATGCACTTTATTCAATTTATTACACTCGCTAATATTAGATAAACTATACTTAAAATTATATTATATTATCTAGCGATAAATAAACAGTTCGACGCGGCATAGAAATGGTACATTTATGGTGATGATGTTGTTAACGCATCGCCTTTTTTAATGGCAATTTATTCGGGCGGTTTTTTTTATATATTTATAATGAATTTATGTGTGCAATGCTATGCGCAATTATTAAAACATTGTAAAATATTATTATATTTTAATTATTATGAAACGTATGCTCACGGTGTGCGGGTTGATGTGAATTATTTGCATATTCTTTTTGTTAAGCACAGGTCGCTGTAATTGCAGAAATAATGAGCGTAATTTATTGCGATTAAAAGACGAATTAATAAAAATAATTGAGATGAATTCTCATGTGAGTTTTTTATTCATTTTATTAATAATAATTGCTAATAGGAGAGACAATTGAGCGTGAGTTCAATAAAACATCCGGTTTTTCTTGTACGTATCTAGATGTTCATAAAATGAAATGATTTGAAATTGAATTCGACACAAAATATTTCATCAAAATGAATTTGTTTCACGCGCTATTGAATTCTGATTGCTCTAGGGCGTGAAATACATAAATATAAATGGGCATCGTGCAAGAGGACTCCAAACCAGCAGTCGGAGTTTTCGGCGATTTGATGAAGATTTTTCCGTTCGAATAATTACGACCGCTCGCAAAAAAACATCATCTTTGTATATATTTTTTTCGGTTGCGAACGAAGAGCACTAGCCGATGGCGTTGTGTGGTTCTTCGCCAGCGTGCTTCAATTCGAGTGCGATAAAGCAATAAAAATAAAATCCCCGCGCGTCGAACTCATTCGACAGTCGAAAATTCGAAATTCGCATTTCGCATCGCATCACAATTCGCATCGAATGGCCAAGCCGATGCCCATTGGCATAACAGCATCGGAATTTCATTCCACTCCGCTTTCAGTCACCCTCACCACTTCAAAATGTGCACATCTCAATCTCATATTTCGGCCGGCGAAATTTATTTTTATATGTTCATTATTAAGTATGAGAATATGCGAAAGGCCAGAGGCACTCGCGAGGGAGTGAACGGGTGAACGCGTGAACGAGTACATGCGAAGCAAGCGAACGGAAAAAGCGTATTATTTTTTATAATCATCCCTTTCATATTTGGCGCAGAATTTTTCGGGAGGTGGTGCGAGCGCTTGTTCTTTTGCCACTGATGTGTTTTTTCGGTGTACCCCTTTGTTGGGCGTAGCTGTCAGTTGTTTTTTAAGTGATATAATGCGTCCCCTTGTTTTTACTAATGGCATTCGATCATAAAAATTACAAAATAAAATAAGGGGATGCCATTCTACGATAATTTTAATTTGAGAATGCTTAAAATTCATGTTTTACATCATAACTTTTCATATTCGCATTTTGCAAATAATTTGCCTAATATTTTCTTATGTTATCATTTGTGTTTTTATTTTTTTTTATTTGAAGCTGTTATTTCTGAGATTATTTTTTATTGCTATACCTTGGTTAGTTGATGTTATTTCTCTGTAGTATTTCTTAGTCAATGCTTTCGTTAGTGTTTTTGTTTGTGATTTTTCTCTTCTTTGGCACTTTCTTGCCCCACGTCGAGTGGGTATGTGGCAAATGTTTTCCTCCGCAAAGTGCTCTCTTGTTTTGTTTCCAAGATGCAAGCAGAATGCATTGGCCGTGTTTGCACAATGCAGAAAATACGTTCATTATGCATTGTTTGTTTGCGCACGCTTTTTAATTAAAAGCGTACCATTATTATTGGTTTTTCTCTTCGTCTTCCGACATGTCGAACACGCCGCCGCGCCGCATAATGGTTTAATACACATGCATGTAATTGTAACTGTGTATGCGTGCATGCGAAACAAAAAGCAAATGGCTGAGATCGCTTACCTCGCAGTTTTTGTTCGTCGATGAGTTGTCTCTCCAGACTGTCTTTGACTTCCCGTTCGCGCAGCACGTCCATTTTCAATTCAGCTGAAACAAGAGAGTGAAGAGAGTGAGTGTATTAAAACATTAAACAATCACATGTCGAACAATTCACTGCTCGACACATATATTCAGGTATCGATATGAAAGCGTATTATATTTAAATGTGGTTAAATTTTAACGAGTAAAAAAGAAGAGGACGAGAACACTCAAGAATCGAATATGCCATGGAACAATTAACAATAAACGCTATTAAGTATTGTTTCAGGCAGAGTTTTAAGTTGTAAGTGGGTTTTCTTTACTTTTTTATTTCTTTAATTATGTCCGTATGATTACTCATACTGTGCACTCCTTGTTAAAATTCCCACGATTGACAAAACAAAAACATTTAAACAAATAAACTGTTTGAGGATTGTTTCATTTCTTGTTTCATAGGGATGTTGGTAATTGATTGTGAACTGCGTGTCATAATACGCAACACAATGTGTTTCACGCATCGCAAAGCAAGCGGGGAGCTTTAGTAGCCTGTGGATTAATCCAAATGACTCCCGCGTCGACTTGTCAGGTGATTGCCGGGCAAAGATTTATTTCGATTTAATTAAACACATTGGGACGTAAATGTCTCTCAATAGAAATAAAATTGATTAATTCTGTGCAATATCTTGTAAATAGTCGCAGGACTACGCAATTGAATTGTTCAATATAGCTTTCAATTAAGTCCTTTGATACTATTTGGTTTCTGTTGTAGACAATCGCATAAGATTTTTTTTTACTTTTGATTTCTTGATGTTTTCATGGTATGAAACCATCCACCCTCTTTTAAAAATTTCCTTAAAGCATTTTTTAAATGTTCCTTCAAATACGAACCTAAGCCATATTTATCCTTCATTTTTTTTGCTTATAGCTTTCATTTCGACGCCGTCACAGCATCGGCATTGAAGACTCTATTTGCTTTTCTTGCTTTCGTTCTTGCCAGGCAGACATTTTCCGCTTTCTTATTCGGTTCGTGCGCATTTGCGATTCCTGCTCATTCTTATCCTTTGCATTTTTGAATATGAAATTGCGCGCTGCCTTGCATTTACCTGTGGTGCTGCGTAGCATTCGATTTCGACGTGACTGCCGTGTCTGCGCGATGCCTGTGCAAATTTCATTTTAATGGAATAATCATTCGTGTAAATATTTGTGAAATGGCTCCGTTTTTATTCCTTTTGCTCCATCGCTTTGGGGGAGTTACATATACACCCGCTCGTTCTGTTTCTTCGTCTTGGAATCATTCAATACAAGGTGAAATGGAATAAATTAAAACTAATTCAGAACACAGTTCTGTCGTATTTCAAACACCCTGTGTAGCCGTGGAACATTTTTTGATTATTCATTTCACGACTCATTTCTTTGCATTTTGCTTCTTCGTTTACAGTTTTGTTTGCACTTCGAATTCAATGAGCGAAAAAGCTCTAGGGGTACAAATTTATTCAATTCGTAAGCAAAGAGAGCAAAAAATTAGTAAAACACACCTATAAAAATTTTAATAAGAAGGTTTGTAAAGTTTATAAAATACTTTTTTGATATTTATATTAAATGATATTCATAATTCACATTTATTAATATCTTGCGTACCTTCTGGTGCAGTGTTGTTAGTTAATGTTATTAAAACCCAGAGAAAAAACTGCCCAAAAATCCATTAAAAATCATTTCATTTATCATGTCGTCGTAGTCCCGATGCGATGTCGGAGCGTTTATTGTGCGTGTTCGAGTTTCGATAACAAGTTTATTTCTTATCCCTGCGCTTATTCTTGTTCTTTTTTTGTTTTCCTTCCTCCTTGTACTCATTCAGCGCCCACGCCAGTTTTCTGTTTTGGTTGCTCGCTCCCTTTTTCCCGGAACGAGGCGGCGTTGAAGAAGAAAAACGACGAAATGACGTCCGTAATAAAATAAGAAGCAAACGGCGAGGGGCGGCAGACATTGGCGGTTTTTTGAAAAGAAAACAAATGCTAAAAGAATGATAATCTAAAATTTCCCTCGGAATTAGCGTGCGCTTCCGCGATGGAGATTCGTGGCTCGCGAATACAAGTTGCAAAAGCCGAATAAAAAAATGAGATGAAAAAGAATGGAAAGCAAGATGCAAGCACGATTTTCGAGACTATATCTGACAGAGGGTGGTTTCGTAACGCAACAATCTCTGTGTGGGAAATATAGGCTTTGTGGCGGAGGCAGCAGGAGCCTAGCAGCAGAGGAGATCCGGAAGTAAATCTTTATCAAAAAGCTGCGAAAATCGGGATGATTTATGATACTCAATGCTCACACAGCCACGGCAAGCCAACGCCTTGGAGCTCAAATCTTAAAACGTCTTCAAAAGTTGTGCAAAAAAGGTGAAAACTTTTTGTACGAATATCTGCCCAATTTTCAATAAATACATTCGTCCACATATTTTTTACTTTTGCAAAACTTGCATTATGATGCTCAAATTTCACATGCATGTTTGAATAATTGATGAAAATAATAACGATTTTGATTTTCCCCTTGTCTGAACAGTCGTATGTTGGTACAATTTCGTTTTACATTTTGTATCTCACATTACATTTTACAATCTGCCGTCAGCAATGTATGGTAGGCGCCTTTACGAGTATGTTCGCTGCTCATATGAATTACATTTGCGTTTGGGCGCACGCGAGTACTGAACATGTTTATACGCTTGTTGACTCGCACGACGTATGACTCCCGTGCAGCACTTCCATGATTTCCATGCATTTTCTTATATTAGCATTAGTTATGCTTTACGTTTAAGGTTCGGGCGGGGGTCGTTTGTTCCGGGTGCGTTTTCATTGCAACCGTTTTCGGATATTTGTTCTTGTAAAAGTGTACGTCGTGCATCGTCGAAATTTGCTTCTAGTATATGTGCTATCGAGCTCGCAAGAGGGTTGTGAGCGGGTGGCCCACCCCGTTGGGAGGGTGACTGTATTGTTTAGGAAGATTGCACGACACACACGTACTTACGTATGCAAATTGGAACTCAAATGGTTTCTAACTTATTGCAGACAATGCGATTACTAGCGCCCAAGAAAAATTCGCGCATTGCACATCAATAATAAATGGAAGAACAAATTTCTTTCTATATCTTCTGCGATGAATTCTCTTTATTTTGGGTATTAAGTCATCAATGTCGTTACCGTCTCTCATGTCTTTCGTCGCGTTCGTTACTTCGTTAGATTTTACCACTTTTCACCGCGCTCACGTTTCTCGCGGGAGCCAGAGGCGTTGATGCAGAAATCTAATTACGCTTTTTTTTTTCGTTTTTATATTTTCATTCCGCCGGGTTCGGTTCGCTGAGACACATTAGAGCCAACGCAATCCGCCGCGTCGTCCGCGGAAAAGGATATCAATTACACCTAATGTCACCATTAACTAAATTATTCACATTTAATTGGATCCACTCATCAAAAAGTTTTCCAACTTGCATCGTCCCTGCCCGCAGTAGCGTATTAGTCGCCGACATTTGCGTGCTTTTTTTCTGTCTGCCTTCCGTTTGCCACTGCCCGAAATTTTATTAAATATTCACTGCTAACATTTCCTTTTCTCTTCTTTTGGCGTTGGTGGAATCATCGAGGGACCCCTCGTTCAGAAGAATAAAACGCTAGTGTTACGCCGCGCTGCGGTCTCCGACCGACTCGGCCCAATCTCCCTCATTCGGTTTTAGTGTTATGAGACGTTATATCATAAGCGTCGAGCCGTGCCAGAGCGGAAAGTTTGACTCGCAGAGTCGGGGCATATTTTTTCCGGTTTCTTACACTCGGCCTACGACGCGCGATTACCGGAAAGCGGCGCTGCGTGAGAAAAGAATAAGGAATAACTGGCACACTTTTAAGTCAAGGTGGAAATCCAAGCAAGGAAACAGAGATAAAAAGAGAAGGATAAAAAATAAAAACGTGAGATGAGCAAAACGAGATGGTTTTGCGTGGTAAAATCTTACATTTTCCGGGGACGGTGGGAGGGTTACGTATTGCGCACCGAGGGGGGCGAGGATTAGCTATTGTTACGCGAGCGCAGAGGGTGTGATAAGAGACAGGGTGAATAAAAAATCAGCTTATTGCTAATATCTAAGCCACAATTATTGCGGCTTCCGGCGTTGAGAAATGGAACCAACCTTTGCTTGCAAAAAAGTAAAACGATATCTATAAGTGTACAAGATGTAAGGAATTATCCTCGAAATTATTTAATTTCTTACCTATGAATTTGAAAAAATACTACCTATTTATTAAATTTTAATAATAAGTATTAGTTTGAGTATAATTTTGATGTAATTCTTCCCTGTTCTCCCCTGTTATGATTTAAACTCAGAAAATCTTTTATCATATAAACGTAATTACCGCCATTGGCTTCCTTCGGATGTTATTACTTTTTATTTTATTGCTAATTACCGCGCCGATTTACCTAAGGGTCCCATAGGCCCTGCCAGAAAAAAATTTAAAACGTAAGCCCCCCGCCGATGTGGCGAAAAATACGGAACCAATTTATGCAAGCAATTTCGCGCAGCTTCATCGCGGCCACCGGAGGAAGCAAAAAAAAGCGGACCACTAAAAGATGTTACGGCCATACGCATTTATAGAGAATTTACAGAACTTTGCGGGAGAACGCCGTCGGAAAATGAGAATGTTTGCATTAAACATTCAGACACACTGCACTGCGGCGAAATTTAATTTTACGATCGGAAACAACGGTGTTCCTGGTGAGCTCTTGTTGTGTGTCCCAGGCGCCAGTGGGCCAAAATGTATTTCTTTCTTGCTATGATATTAGCGCTAGTTGTAAGTACTCACTTTGAAAAGTTACTGCAAGCGTACAATGTGCACAGAAGCACAAAGCACAATATAACATTATGAATGGATAGCATGGTGAGAACCGGCTTAATTACTAGATTGCATTAGAGAACATTAAAAATGCACTTAAATTGCTTAAACTTGCAATTTTTGCTTATAAAAAAATGACAAACACAAAAACAAAAAAATGCAATAAAAGCTAATTAAAAATGAAATACTTTTTACATTGCAATTCTT